ATCTCGGGTCATCCTCAGCCCGCCCCCGCCATCTCGGGGATGTCCTCAACCCGCCCCCGCCATCTCGGGGATGTCCTCAACCCGCCTCCGCCATCTCGGGGCCGCCCTCAGCCCGCCTCCCGCCATCTCGGGGCCGCCCTCAGCCCGCCCCCCGCCATCCCGAGGCCGCCCTCAGCCCGCCCCCGTCTTCTTAGGGCCTCCCATCTGGGGCGGGCAGCCTCGTCCCGCAAGGGACACGAGCCCCGGAGCCAGCCCGTCACTTTCTCCGCTCACATGGGAGCCATTTCATCCCTTCCACAAGCCGCGGGTGCCCATCGGCTGCGGGGCAGTCGATCACGCTGTTGCTGGGCCTCGCCGGCCGAGCCCAACTTAGCAGCCACAGCAGGGCTGCTTACACACCTTCCTCCGGCACACAGGGGATGGCAACCTCAAAAATGAGGTGTTTAGTTAAAAAGGAGTGGGTTTGTACAAGGCCCCGTCACTAGGTTCTACACACACAGCCTCGCTGATCTGCTTGTACATGCCCTACTGCTCAKTGCCCCAGGGATTAAAAAGCTGTCATGACTTCCTCATCTAAAGAGAGGGATGAGCAGGCTGAAAAAAATAAAGTCAGATGACTCCCCTTTTATTAGATGCCTAACTATCCATCCAAATCATCAACTTGATTTTAATAACATACTTCACAAAATGAGGCACCATGGAAATTCTTTACAGGAACATAACAGAGTTTCAACTCTTTTTGCTGTTGTTTGAAATTTGAGAGTACTGAGTAATTATTGTAATAAATAGGAAGTGGCACCAGATGGCAGCAGACACAGGACAGACACACATGAGTTTTGCTCTGGTACATAGCTGAGCTGGCTCTGTCAAAGTCATATCTTGCACACAGCAGAAAATGAGACAGAAATGCAGTGTAATCAATTCCAGTGCATCCAGTGATGAGTTTGGAAAGGTGAGCTTGCCTGCCTGCTTCCTCAGATAACAAGACGCACCTCTGTGTTTGTATGTTCTCCTGTAGCTCCTTGATTTAGTAACGTGTATCTATCTGTGTCCTGGAGACAGTGTTATAACTTGTTCGGGGTCTAAAGCATATAMAACTGTTATTAAAAGCCTGAAACAATTACAAATGCAAAGAGCCACACAACACATTTCCGAGTAATTCRTTTTCTACAGATATCCAGGAACCGTATTTGCAAAATACCAAACATTAAAAGCAATCTTACACAATGCATGTTTCAAAACCGTGCATCAAGGCCGTGCTAGTGGTATCTAGAAAGAGCTTGGGAGGAATCACGTAGTAGGGTGTCTGCATAGGCCAACAAAATGTTTTGTTATAATTCTTAGTAGTGAGCGACAGTAGTTCAGATCTCGTACTCACTTTTCAGCTTCAGTTGATTAACAAATAGAAACAAGTTTCTCTGGTCCTGAATTGCAGATGAGAAAGCTGAAACTCAGAAGCACAGAGCATGCCATTATCATGGGGAAAACCTTTGGTGCCCACTTCTTTTATGCTGTTTTACATCACACTCTGGGCTAACAGCATTGGTGAATTTCTGTCAGTGTCCTTCTAACCTACTCTGGTCAGAGGAAAAACCAAAATCAAAGAAGCTCTGCCTTTGGAAAGTAATTGTCTCAAAATTTTAACACACAATTTATGCAGTCGTCTGCTATCTCAAAAAGGTAGTGATAGACATCGGTCCTCCGAGCAATGTCWAGGGCAGTTTCGTCCAAGCTGTTTTTCAGGTCCGCTTTCACGTAGCGGTTCATCAGCAAGAGCAGCAGGATGTCCCGGCTGTTCTTGTTCCCCGCGGCGAGGTGCAAGGGCGTGAGCAGCCCGTGGGTCTGCGCGTTGATGTCCGCGCCCTGCTGCAGCAGGAACGAGGCCACCCGCGTGTTGTTCCACTTGCAAGCGCTGTGCAGGGGCGTCCAGCCGTCCACCGTGCGCGCGTGAACATCGGCCCCTTGYGCCACCAGCTCGTGGGCAACGTCCAAGTGGCCGCCGTAGGCAGCTCGATGCAGAGGAGTGTACTGGTCTTCGTCACGAGTGTTAACCGGGGCCAGCTTTTGGGAGAGAAGCCTTCGCACGGTGCTCAGCTGCGCAAGGAAAACAGGTAATTTAATGTGAAACACTGCAAGGGAAGCTCCCTGTGCTACATTCTATGCATCAAAAATAAGTGGAACTACAAGAAGTAAATTTCTGATAGTCTCCAATATATGCAACGTTAAATTTAACCCTTTCTTTGGGTCACTGGTTCTTTCAGAGAAAAAGCTTCATCCATCTGGCACAAATATACACAGCCGTACCCTCCCATAATAGTTTTAAAATTTACATATAGCACCTTGGGAGTTCCTTTGCCTTAGATTCTCTATTGAGGTTAATATCTCCAATATTGAAGATAGATRTATCTAATTATAATTGCCATATTTGTAATACTGCATAATCCATAATTGCAAATGGATTTTGTTTGGTTAACGTAATTAACGAAAAGGAATGTACATAAGGGTGTAATAAAAGGAATTTTGGTCTTTTCTTGCCCACTTTGAATAAGCAAAGACTAAAAGCTTTTCTACACTAAAAAGAGATGAAAATAGCCAGTCAGTCATTGAATCCTCTGTATATGAAGCTTTGGAGAATATGAAGGAAAACCAGATACATCTTTTTTAGTCTAATTAAAAGACTGTTAAGGAAGAATCTTGTGTGCTTTCAGAGATTTAAAAGTATTGTATACATAAGACTTTTTGTTCATTGAATAAGTTAGAGCTATCTCTTCAAATCAGCATCRTTGTCACTGATACCTAGGAAGAAAAAGCACCTTACCCGGTTGTTTTCAGCGGCCCACAACAGCAGTTTCTCCGGATCTTTCTCCATCTTCTTTTCTTGCATTTCATACCATTCCTCACTCTTTTCTTGTTCGTCTTCCTCATCTTCCGACTGTCCCGACCAGCCGCTCTGAGTGCCCACGGGAATCAGGTGCCGGTGCGTTTCCAGCAGCTCCAGCTGGTTGAAGCTCTCCGTGAAGTCCGACAGCTGCTCATCCTCCTCCTCCTCCGCGCGCTGGCCCGCGCTCATTGTAGCCCAGCACCCGGAGCAGCCAGACGCGCAATATTTATTTTTCCCTCTCTTCTGCTGCTGTCACGAYTCCTTCCACATCATTTCACATTCTTCCTTCTTAAGAACAAAGCTATTCCTGATTTTCCCCCGTTTCGCAGTTGAACAGCAAGGCTCATAGGAGCCCTCGTTCTCCTCCTTTCGGATGTCACCAACACTAATTTTTCCAGGTTTCCCCTGACCCGCCAACCGGCAGCGCAGCTCACCGCAGCCGCCCGCGCCCCGCCGGAAGTGACGCACCGCTGCGGGGCGGGGCCGGCCCCCGGTCACCCAATCACTGCACCGCTCCCCGCCGGGGCGGGCGGGAGAGCGTGGCGCGCTTTGGGCTGGGCGGGTCTCGCGAGAGTCCCGCGCGGTTCCCGCCCCCCTCGCCGGCGCCATGGAAACGTCGCGCGGGAATCCCCGGCGGGTGAGAGACGGGGCTGGGAGCGACAGCCGGGAGCGGCGGCCTGGGGGCGGCTGCGGGGGCCGGGAGCGGGAGCGACAGCCTGGGGGCGGCTGCGGGGGCCGGGAGCGGCGGCCTGGCGGCGGCTGGGGGGCCGCGCGTTGCCGCTGCTGCCCGGGGGCACCGCGGGGAGCCCGCTGTGAGGGCGGGCTCTGCACTGCGGCTGAGCCGTCTCCCCAGCCGCGCTTGGTTTCTGTTCTCTTTTCTAATTTTTATTTTTTATTAATATTCATTTTACCTATAGTATTAAACCCCCGTTGTAATGATCCGTTCGTGCTGTTCTCTTCCTCACGCCCTGTAGCATCCGTGACGCTCTGCACACGCCGCCGGGCCGGGCCGAGCCGAGCCGGGCCGGGCCAGGCCGGGCCGCTGGGCAGCGGCAGCCGCTGGAGCCGCCGCGAGGAGCCGGGYGGGAGGATGAGCGCCGCCAGCCCGCAGTAAGCGCCGGGATCCGCGCCCCGTCCTGCCCCACCGGGGCCTTCGCGTGCGGCCGGGAGCTCCGTGCACACCCCTGCTCTCCTCGGAGCCCTTCCACTCATCATCATCATCATCATCACCATCATCATCATCATCATCACCATCACCATCATCACCATCACCATCACGCCTTCCTTCATGTGTTGTGCGCCTTGCAGTGCAAGCAGAGGGCTCGGGGCTTGCTCCGAGCCTTCTTAGAGGCAGAAAACATGTCAAGAATGTTCTAGTGTTTCCTGTTAATTCTTCCAAAGGGGTATTTGTGGCCCTGTGGTGGCGTAGACAGATTCAGAGCACCTGGTTTTCATATTGGTTTGTCAGGAATCTGAGGGGCTCTTTGCAAGTTGAAGTGTTTTCACTTTCATTTCACTTCAATTCACTTTCAGTTCAATTTCACTTGGCATCACGGGCAAGAAGATTGTGACATTTTCTAAGAAAGTCTTCCGTGTGTTTAATGACTTCAGGGGGAAACTGCTCATCTAAATCCGGGTTGGAATCCTGAAGCATGTCCTTCTCTAACACCAACTTTCCCTTTTTACTCAGGGATGATGAGGATGCCTTTAAAATACTCGTTGCAACTGATATCCATCTTGGGTATTTGGAGAAAGACCCAGTACGTGGAAATGATACCTTTGTAACTTTTAATGAGATCTTGGAGCAAGCTCAGAAAAATGAAGTAAGTAGCACCCTTTGGAAAWTAAAGCCGTGAGACCATGGAGCGCCCGTTAGAGCCCACTAGAATGAGCTAGGCCTGGTGCAGCCTTAGTAATAACAAAGTGAATTTAGTTATTTATTGCAGCCACTTTTGGTTTTGTTAGTAAAAAGAAACGCTTGAAATGCTCTCTTAAGTAAAACAAAATCCTCTTGAGAGTGATTTTAAATTAAAATTCTGGTGATTTGTTTTTGTTAGTAAAAAGAAACGCTTGAAATGCTCTCTTAAGTAAAACGAAATCCTCTTGAGAGTGATTTTAAATTAAAATTCTGGTAATATTAATGGTGATTTTAGTATTTCATCCCCAGTCCCAGAGGAAGGGAAGATAATKGAGGAGTGTGAAGGTAATAGTAAAAGTCTTCAGACACCTCAGAAATCAGGGATCAAATCAATTTTCAATCAATTAAAACTCTTCAAGTGGTTTCGCTCTTCTTAAGAATTAAATGTGTTTTAGTGAAATGATGWATTTCACATAGTCTTGATGCTGTTTTCATGCCTGTTTCTGAAGCTAAGTTTATTCAGGAAATAAAACTAATATCCAGTCAAAATAATGCAGACATAGGTACCAATTTCCTCTAACTAGTATTACAGCAGTAAAGGGATACGTATCTCCTCTTCACTGTCAAGTAAAATGTTCAGGAGCTATTTTGGGACCATTATTAAACACTTCATTATAAACAAACCAAAAACAAACAAAAAGTTTGCTGCTCTATAGATTTTTTTAAAAAATATTTTAATTAGTTAATTTTATTAAAAGAAAAAAACTACAGAATATCTGCAGCTATGAGCTGTTGTTCAACGTAGAAGTCAGGTATGATGGGATACATGAGGCTCCTTAAAAGACATAACGTAAACAATTGGTTAGCAAGTCTTTTAAGGAAATGCAAAATGCTGCATTAAAATAATGGAGCTTCTTGTTGCGTGCAGGTGGACTTTGTTTTATTAGGTGGGGACCTTTTTCATGAAAACAAACCTTCCAGAAGAACAGTGCACTCTTGTCTGGAGTCGCTGAGGAAGTACTGCATGGGTGATCGCCCTGTTCACTTTGAAATTTTGAGTGATCAGGCCGTTAATTTTCATTTTAGCAAGTAAGTACTTTTCTATAAATTTTGATGAGACTTGTTTGCCTTGCTTTATTGGTTCCTGTATCGGGGATTTATTTCAATCTCTGTGAATAGAATCTTAAAATTTTAGGTCTGTGTGGGACCATTTGTAGCATCGTCTTACCTGTAATCTTTTACGGTCTAAGTCTATAAATGACTGTACATGATTTTTTGGGAAACTTCTAAATATGTTATAACCCTTCATACTTAGGTTCCATCCTGGCAGTATGATATGGAAAAGAAAACACAACTTAAGTGAAATGCCTGGTAAARCAAGGCATACTTCTTTATATGTAAACATATAAACATACTTCTTTATATGTAAACAAAGATTGCACAGTGCAGTCTGCTCTTGTACATACCGCAGTGTGTTTCACAATTTTTATCATAATTATGACTAAAACAAACAAAAACTCCCTTTAGCATACCCTCAGTGGGAAACTTGATTCCAGACCACGGATAAGAATAGTGATTATTAGTGAATTATCTTATTAGTGAATAAGATAATAATACAGATTTGAAGAGMTTATGTTAATTGTTTGTAAACAAATGTATGGATCAAAATGAATTTCTTTCCTCCTTCCTGTTCAGGTTTCCGTGGGTGAACTATCAGGATGGAAATCTCAACATTTCTATTCCGATTTTTAGTATTCATGGCAATCATGATGATCCCACAGGGGTAATTATTGCAATTGTACCATATTGAAATATTACATAGATGCTATTATAAAAATACAGGCTTTATTTTTCTTTGAGATCAGCTACCTGTAGTCTGTTTCATTCTTCATTTAAACCTTTCTGTATGTTTTGAAGAGCTCTCTTAGTGGCCACAGCTTGAATATGACATTAAAAAGCAAAAGGAGGGAAATTAAGGGGTCTGTATGGGGTACATTTAATCTCTTAACTTACACAGAGTGCTGTCATTAAGAATGCCATTCTTATGTCAAAAAAGATAGACCTTCAGAAGATTTCTAAAAGGAGATATGTTTATAGGGACTGTAAGTCTTGGAAGTCTGTTTTTAAGGAAAGTAACTTCTTGACTTGTTCTTAGGTAGTGCATACCATAGTTTTGTTTCTTCCATTAAATGAATGTATATTTTCAAGGAAGCTAACTTAATTATGATCAAGGAATTATTTGGAAGTCAGCAACTGGAAGTAATAATGGGAAAAAAAACTCCAAATATGTATGTTCTGCATTATTACTTATGCATTTGGTATCTAATAGTTACTAATATTACCAGCGTATCTTTATTTTCTATAGGTAGATGCACTGTGTGCATTGGATATTTTAAGCTGCGCAGGACTGCTGAATCACTTTGGACGTTCATCTTCTGTAGAGAAAATAGATATTAGTCCCATTTTATTGCGTAAAGGCAGAACGAAAATTGCCCTCTACGGCCTGGGTAAGTGTTACTCTGCTGCACTGTGGTTAGGCTCGTGTCGTGTTGCTGAAGTTCAGTAGTTGGAACAAATATGGTGCTGCAATGAACACAGAGGTCTAAATAATGTTAAATTTAAGTATATCCATTAATACTGAATTTACGTTTTATCAATTTCATGTGGGTGTTCCTGTTCAGAAATGTACGTGCCCCATCTGTGTGCTTTATTTTGTGACTTTGCAACAGGACTATTGACTAACTTACGTTTCTGCCTTCATTTTTGCAAGTCTCCRAATATTTGATGTCTCCTGTCAATTTAGATGGTCTGAGAAATGTCAGCTCGTCCCTTCTGCTGCAATTCCACTGTCAGCCACAGAACTTTGTTCTTATAAATCCTTCATCACTGTATTTCTGTCCTTATAGKCTTAAGTGAACCCTCTTTAAGTTAGCCACAGTGCCTGTACATTGAATCAGGCCAATTATACTCTTTAATTCCTCATTTTCTTTGTATTACACATAGKTTTTTTTTTTTCCAGGTAAAACTTTAATACTGAATATTTGTGTGCTGTCTGTCTTGAAACTTCAGGTCTGACCTGCCTTCTAATTTTAATGTCATAATATAAAGTATTGAAAAGCATTTGAACTCTAATACTGAGAACTGCTAATGGGAAATGTAACAACTTGCCTTAAATATGCATCAAAATGTACATTCACAAAATGTTTCTTCGAGCTTTTGGCAGGATTGTGTCCCCTCCTGATCCTCTCTGATTTAGAGAGCATTTGTTCCTGTACAAGCAGTGCAAGCTCTGGGCAGGGTGTTACGGAAGTGCATTGCAAAGATTGAGTGTGTGAATCAGGCCTGGGTGGGGATTTGTTTGTTTTTCCCCCCTTATTTAAAAAAAATAAAAATTGGGAAATGGCCAGTTCATGTTGTGCAGTAAAGCACAAGCTTCTCACAAAGCATGGTTTATTTTTTATTTTGTGAGGGTATCTCAAAGTGACTTTGAGATCACTGTCTCTATATGGYGGGATCTTTTTAGAATCATTTGTGCAACAAAGTTTCCTTTTTACTCTGTAAATGAGAAACAAAAAGACCATATTCAGCTGCTCTGCACAGAAGATGACAAGAAGTCACAAAGCAGATGTTGTTAATGCAAATGCTTCTGGCAGCTATTTAAGGGAAGATGTCATCTTGGAACGTCCTCCTTTCAGTAGCCTGTCTAGGAAAATAGATTTAAACTTTGATCTGCTCAAATTAAGAATCACATATCTGACTTCTTGATCTGATTTGGGCACAAGGCTTTGTTATCCATACTGATATTAATGAAGTTGCTGGTAGAGATGCTATAAARTGAAAAGTTGGTTTACCAAATAAAAATAACACTTTTTATTTTTACTTTTATTTACTCCAGGAGCCATTCCAGATGAGAGGTTGTATCGTATGTTTGTCAACAAACAAGTAACCATGCTGAGACCAAAGGAAGATGAGGATAGTTGGTTTAACTTGTTTGTGATTCACCAAAACAGGTAGCAATATTGCTTGAATTGCAATGACTTTTAAATTCACTGTATTGTTTCATTAAACTGCCTTTAAAAGAATATGAAAGAGAGCCAGATATGCTGAAATGCTACCTGGTGCCACTTGAGTTGCCAAAGAGGTTGTTTTTTTTTTTTCCCCATAGCTTGTAGCCTATTTCAGAGTGTCTTTCCCCAAATAAAATCATTATTTTACAGTTGTTCTTGTTATAGAATGATCATAAAGCATTTACAAATATTGGAAAATTGCTCCCTTGACTCTCCTAGTTGAGGATAGGACCAGGTTTGTATTAAAAATGCATAAAACTAATTCTTTAGTCTACATGTTGGAGGTGAAAAGAAAACCAGCTGTGGATGCAGTTACATTGAGTTTGCTGCGTTAGTTTGAGTTAGAATTCGACAAGTCCCAAGTCTGTGTTTGCCYTGTTACACTTCACAGAGCCTCTTGTATCGAGGGTGTCTAGCAGTGTTCTTTGTGCCCACACCCTTCTCCTAGCTGTCTTAATAGGAAGAGGCCGAGTTCCTAAAAAGACTGGAGCAGCTTTACAACCTTTTGTACAATGTGGCCTTCCTGGTTCTTTCATACAGCTCTTCCTGGATGAATAAGAGCGCAGCCCTCGTGTGGGAGGTAAAGATGAGGCCGAAGGGCTGAGGAAACACCCTGTGCTGCTCTCTGTCCAGTACTCTGAAGGACTCCCTCTTTTCCTACGTTGGGAGAGCTACCTGCTGGTTATGGAGTAATACAGATGCAAAGGAGGGGGAGATGGGGGCCACCCTATTTCTGTTTAAATCAGCCTTTTTGACCTCACTTTTTAACCAAAAGGAAAGAAAAAGAGTTGAGGTGCTATAAGACCATTCCTAGAGAAAAACTGAGGATCACGCAAGCCAASTACAAAGGAGGAAGGAAAGAGGTCCATATGAAAGACTGGAAGTAAAAAAACTTCTATTTAGAACAGAAAAATGCTAAGGAAAACTCTCTGTGTAATTTGAGCATTTTCCTAACCTTCATCAGCATACATTGCTTTTTGTTAACCAAACACTTTAATTCCTACTTGCAAAGGAAATAAAGAGTACTTGATGTGAAATGTCAAATATTCTTATTGGGGTGTCCCTGTCACTTTACATGATGCTTACAAGATTTATGTTGTGTTTATACTCCTTCCCTTCCTGCCTTCACCCCCATGATTATACATATYTGCATTATTTTTCTCTTCTCTTGAACAGGAGCAAACATGGAGCCACCAACTACATTCCAGAACAATTTTTAGATGACTTTCTTAATCTTGTTATATGGGGTCATGAGCACGAGTGTAAAATAGCTCCCACCCAAAATGAACAGCAGCGTTTCTATGTTTCTCAGCCTGGCAGTTCTGTGGTGACATCTCTGTCCCCTGGAGAAGCTGTGAAAAAGTGTGTAATCCCTTTTGGTTTGTCTGGTTTTGCTCTTGTTTATATCTTGATAAGGACGTTTATAAGGATATTTTTGATAAGCACATTTATGTAGCCAAGAATAATGCTTCTACAAAGTATAATAAACTTCAGAATGTAACAGAGTAAATGAGCCAGAATTGAAGCCTGCAGCAACTTTGCTTGGGATTTCCTTATGATTATATGTAATATTTGGTGGAAATGGAGCCCAACTCATCCATGTGTTGGGTTCATCCTTGGACTACCAGAGGCTGTTTATATGTGCCTGTATGTGGAACGAGTACAGTAGAATTGATAGAATAGTTTGGGAGTCAACCATTAAATACAGATTTGGGGACTTCCTATGACTGTTTTATGTTTGTCTCTGGAAAACAGACATGAACCCAGAACAAACTTTTTGTGCCTTAGTTTAGTTAGTTTTTCCTTCTAGTAAGTTATGCCTCTCTTTGTAGACACATTGGTTTGTTGCATGTTAAGGGGAAGAATATGAAAATGGAGAAGATTCCTCTTGAGACAGTGCGAAGTTTCCACATGGAAGATGTTGTTCTAGCCGATTTTCCGGATCTTTTTAATCCAGACAATCCTAAAGTAACTCAGGCAATACAGGCATTCTGCATGGAGAAGGTAAGCTCACAGCACATGGGTAGGAATGTGTTCTGTGACTAATTTAAGACTGGGAGATAGAACTCTTATTTCCTACCCTGTGGGATCTGGGTTTGAGCAAGACTGTTTTTCCATAGGAACAAGCCAATTTAGTGCTGTTCGTKGCAGCCTTGGTTGCAGTGATGACCTCCTGCCATCACCTGTGTAACCCCACCTGGGCATGGGGCAGCGGGGCCCACRTTGTTTGGAAGCAGCACAGATGCACCCAGCACAACCCTGCTAGCTGGAGCGTGCAGGGTGCCCTGGCCTCGGGAAGCAGGGCAGCATTCTGTTTGCTCCTGGTTCCTTAGGTCTGGACTAGTCCCTTGTTGCTGGTTCTGCTAAAGAGAGCAGCTAATATACTGCAAAATAAGAGAGTATGAATGATCACTGGTGTAGGTGCTGCTGRGCTAACTGTCTGACAGATAAACCTTTCATTGTGAGGTTTCTGCTCTCCCATTTCTATAGTTTTTGGCTGGGTCTCTATAGGTAGGTGTGTTCAGCATTCAAAGCCCATTATATAGTTCTTATTTTTAAAGCCTCAGTTCCTCCCCAAGCCCAATTTTGGATTGGATTTATTTGATCTACGTTCCATGTATTGTAAAGTTATACGTGAAGGACTCGGACATCTTCTGTAGAATAACTTGCAACTGAAGACTTTGTTTGGTTTCATAGGTTGAGATGATGCTGGATAATGCAGAAAGGGCTCGCCTGGGAAATCCACGGCAGCCAGAGAAGCCTCTCATAAGATTACGAGTAAGACGTTGTTCAGTGTGGATTGATCTGTTCCAAAAAGTCACTGTGACGTRTTTAAGTGCAGTCATGCTGTATGCTTAAAATTTGAACATACACAATTTCCTACTGTTTACAGGCAAAATTACAGACAAAATCCTGTTTTATAACTGATATTTATTGGAAAGAATGAGATTGTGGGTGTCTTTCGCTGCCACTTTTCTGATCAAGAGTTGATCTGATTAAATGGCTATWATCAGAATAGGGCTTTTTGTTTACTTGTTTTTTGTCGTATTCTTGTGCTTGTTCATAACATCTGTAAATGCTTGGAAAGGAAGCAAGCTGGCAAGAAGTTAGGAATCAAGGATTTGACTGACTATTGTATATAGTACGGTAAAACATAAATTCTAAATATATATTTATATATATTTAATATTAATTTTGTCTTTGAAGGGTAACAGACTTTTTAGTCTTCACTATGGCTTCTTTGTTTTTTCCATCCTTATTTTTTTTCTTTCCTCTCTTAGGTTGATTATACAGGAGGCTTTGAACCATTCAGTGTCCATCGTTTTAGCCAGAAGTACGTGGATAGGATAGCTAACCCAAAAGACATCATACACTTCTTCAGGCATCGTGAGCAAAAAGAGAAGAACGGTAATTAGGAAGGAAAGAATCACTGATTTTCCTTGATGTTTAGTTTTCACATTTTGTGGTTTGTGTTTCTGTTTGTTTAAGAAAAAAACTTTTGAAAAAGCTTGGTGTCTGACACCTTATTTCTGGTAGGAAGAGGAGAGATGTAATCTGACTCAAATATAAATACTGCACAAGGTTCCTCTTCTATTTCTTAGGTTAGCGTTAATTTTTGATATTTGGTGCCCCATCTTCTGACAGCTGTTCATAAATAATTCCTTTTTTCCCCTCAAATCTTAGTGAGTTGTTTACAGTACTGCCTATCACTCTCTATAGGCAGAAGTCTCTTAACTGAATTATTCTGTGATTCTATGATAAGCACCAKGACGGGCATTGAAACCTCATTTCTGGGATTTTCAGTGTGATATAGTTGACTTTAGGRCACCCTATTAGAAAAAAAAGGAGTATTGTGCTCTTCCCTCCCACTTTATTTTTCCTGTATATTTATTGCTTTAGAAAATAATTAGTTTATGTGTAAAATACCAGTAGAGGGAATGTGCCTCAGTACCCTCTTCATTAAAAGACAGCCAGCCCCAAAATGCAACAGCACTTTGTTTGCCCTAATTAATCATGTGTATGAGATGCTGCATTTTAGCTTGCTCTTTCTACAAAATAAATAATAGATGCTGTAATTCCTCTCCCTGTGCCTAGAATTTTAAAGGAATGTTTAATAAGCATTGACAGCTTTGCCCTAGTGCTGGGCCAGGAGTGACTAATGCAAACGCAGCCTGGTGAGAACACAGTGTGCCCAGGGGAGGAACTGTTAGTACAGCACGTTAGTGCCATTTATGTACTCTGGTTACAGGGGCGGTTTTGCTTACACTGACACTTCTGTGAAGCTCAAAACATTGCCTATTACAAATAAAAACTGCATTTTTTTAATGAAGCTTTTGCATATTTAAAGTTTTGTCATATTCTCTTTATCCTGTGGATATCTTTGCTTTTTAAATCTCTACATAATCTTATATTCAGAATACATTCAKACTATGGATAGCCATCACACTTCTCACTGTGTGGGGTCAATGCATTTTCATTTGTCTGTTTTCAGGAACCTTTATAGTGCAAGCTAGATGGCTAGCAAAGCAGTCCCAGTTTCTCTTGCATGTGTTTGCACAGTGCATAAYGCTGTGGCTTGGTACAGGAAGATGCTACAACTTTTTAAACAGTCTAGAAGGTTTTGCTGTTTSTTCTATCCTAAAAAACAGAGCTAACAAAATACTCTGGTTTGTGTTTGCGTGTGACAAGTGTCTAGACACAGCTTAGTCCTTTCATGTTATTTTGCACAGTGAACAGCACCTCCAGTTGATTATCACTATTCTTTGTCATTCCTACCTTGCTGCCTGGAGGTGGGGGCAACCTCAGTGAACTAGGAGCCTCTTCTCCTCTAAATCAATCTGCATGCTTCAAAATAAACTATAACAGGAGTTACACATGTAAAATTCCTCTGCTTGGMTGGGTCCCTTAATCTTCTCCCCGCTGTGGTCTTTCAGAGGTCAGCTTTAATAACCTTCAGGACACAGTATTCAGTTTCTAATTCCAGACCCCTGGGAGTTTGAAGAACTTTATTACATTAATCTCATCTATCCTGCCATAACCACATCCTGCCTATGACTGTGATCAGGGAGGTGATGCTGATTAAAAGCTGCTCTTACATGAACAGCCAGTGATAACACAAATMTGCTTTTCTGTCCTAGAGAGTGACCTTAATTTTGGAAAACTGGTTAGGAGACCTGCTTCCGAGGGGATGACACTGAGGGTGGAGGACCTTGTAAAGCAGTACTTTCAGACAGCAGAGAAGGTATCTTTATAGTTTTTATGAATATGTTTCTGCTATATCATGCTTTCATCATCTTTGAGCATATTTTATTAATGAAAAAAATGTGGCCTGAAAAATCTTTGACCTCCATCCCAAACAGTTTCCTTTCTAACTGTATTTGTATTCCTGCATGAAGCACATGCCTTACAGGGTAACAGGGAGGCACTGTGTGTAGAGTATGTGAATATATGCTATTTTGGCTCTTGAAAGCTCTTCATATGAGCTTGCAGGATCTGCCCTGTATTAAATGATGTGTCATGGCCTTACCAGAGGAAAAACAGCATTCTCTGAGAGAGAAGCAGCTGTAATTGAGTTAGGAGCAGAATAGAGTTTACCTTCTTGCTTTCTTTGGTAATACCTTCAAGACAAATTATTGTAATTTAAGATGATTGTAATTTTTTTCATGAAATATTTTTCTTTGACTAACTTGGAAAACATTAAGTATAACATGCCATTAGCAGGAAGTTTGCAACTATATTATAAAGAACTACCTCTTTGCTATTTTCTGTGCTGTTCTCTGATTGAACTCTTCAGTTCATATCGCTTTTTCTTGAACCAGCTTAATGTAATATTTATCAGAAACAGCAGGAATACAACTTGTTTTTCCTATGGTAGGTATTTCTTAACAATCTTTTTTTCCKTTTATAAAGAAAGTACAGCTTTCGCTTCTGACTGAAAGAGGAATGGGAGAAGCAGTGCAGGAGTTTGTGGACAAAGAAGAAAAAGATGCCATAGAAGAACTGGTCAAATTTCAGCTAGAAAAAACACAGAGGTTTCTTAAGGAGCGGCGCACCGATGCAGAAGAGGAAAAGATAGATGAGGAGGTGGGATACAGTGTAAATCTTACTTCTTTAGAAGAGGCCTACACAGACAATAGAAACATTAATCTTCAAAGCTGCTTTAAGGACAGTGAGTCTTGTTTGTGGTCAGTTACTTTTGTTCTGAAAATAACGTGTTGGTGATGAAGTTGAAATAGATATTTAAAAGCTTATATTAAACCTTCTGTATGTATACACAGAATTTGCTTGCTGGCTGTTATGCTAAGTAATCTTAGGTAGAAACACCCATTCACTCTAATAATCTTGCCCTGAAGGATGTGAGGCTAAATGACAAATTGCATCATCACCTGGGTAACTAGCACTTTTCTTGCACTAGATACCATCATTACACATGAGTACATCAGCATGCACAATATGCTGATGTCTTACTGTTCTTCTCATTTTCCAGTGTTTGAGACTTGTATGAAATAAACTACTACTTTCATAGGGCTTTTTTTTTTTTTTAATTCAGGTGCGAAAATTTAGGGAGAGTAGAAGAAAGAATGCTGAAGAGGAGGATGAGGAAGTGCGTGAGGTAAGTCCTTGAACTGTAAGCGTAGCTCGGATTGGTGACTTTGGCATATGAATGAAATTGCTTAGTAGTGCATGAACATGATCCTTGATGAAAAAGTGCTAATCTGCCTAGGAAAGGTGAACAACTTGTTGACATCATCCTTGGTAAAAGGATGTGTGCCTAAGCCACTGCTTGACTTGGCTTTTCAAGTCTGTTTTGTGGCTGAATTCCTTTAGGAGCTGAATGTCCAGTAGTCCTTACTTTGAAGTGAGGTTACAGCAAACAGGGGCCCTGCAGGGATCTCTCTCAGTTTAAACTGTTTGTGATGCCATCACCAGTAGAGATGTGAATGGGCCCTATTGTGTGATGTGACTGGAAGAAATGAGTCTTTATGGCCCTTTAGTGCTGTGTTCTTTCTCAGCAGTCCAGATCTTTGGTCACCCAGAGATTCAGTTTCAGTGGTAGGTGGCTTTCCAAAGAGAATTCCCAGCCACCAACGCCACTGGTTCCTTTGCTTCACAAGCTGTGTGGGACTGCGACGATGTTTTGAGGAAAACTTTGGCACTTGGATGAGATTCAGCTCTCCTAAATTGCTCTAGTTCACTCCAAAACACCTGATGGTGCCAGTGAAGATGTCAGCGAAGCCTGGAGGGTGCCTCATGTGGGCAGATGTGCATACATGGCATTAGAGGGTCTGAATTCTTTGCTGAACTTCACTGACCGTAATCTGTCAAGCAGTTCCATTCTGAAGGAGGGCTTAGGTGACTATACACATCGAAATCAGTAAGATGAATACTGACCCCGGGTTTTGATAGATTTCCTTGCCTTTGTGAAACTGTGGCTTTGAGTCTTCTAAGTCTGAACTGCATTAAAAATGCATACTGCAGCTAGGWTTTAACCCTGCTGTATTTCATCTTTTAAGATTCTTTTCCTCTACCACTTMTTGATCCCTTTCAGGCAATAACCAGAGCTAGAGCACACAGGTCTGAGGATGCAATTCTTGCCTCTGCCTCAAGTGATGAAGAGCCCATGGATATGGGGATTAAAACCCCTGGAGATTCAGATGATGGGCTCCCTTCAACAGCGAGCCGAGGAAGGGGTCGGGGAAGAGGGAGGGCGAGAGGAGCAAGAGGACAAACTTCAGCAGCAAGAGGATCATCTCAAAGGAGAAGAGGTAAGAAAAATCTCATTTTGTTCTTCAGTTACTGACCTTTCCCTTTAAAGGAGAAGAATCTCTCCTGATGCTTCCATGAAGTGCAAATTTGTTGCTTAAGAACTCCCACTGAAAAAATGTGCACAACTGCTTCTGGTACCGAACAATATATGGCTGGCTGTTGTGTAAAGCTTAAGTCGTGACTTTTTGACAATTTAATGGTATCCTCATTCCCTGTCTAGGAAACTTAGAAGGCTCATGAGAGGTAAGAAAKGTGCTGTTGGGAAGTTCTGTCCTGCAAAGGGCTTGGATCTTTCCTRTTGCTCACAGTAATGCAGCCGTATGCATCTGATCAGCATAAAGAGCAGGTACAGGTTGACTCTGTCCTGACACATGCGATGTCGCTGTGGCTGGTGATGGAGAAAATAGGGAGCATTTTCCTGGCAAAATGATGAAATGGCTCCTTGGCTGTGTGCAGTTGTGTCCCTTACAGTGATTGTGCCACGTCCGTTATGGAGGCCTACTTAAATTAAAGGTAATTTGGGGTCTTGCAAATTCTTCTTCGGCTTGTGTCAGTAAAATGTACGAATTCTAAAAGTGAGAAATTGAGGAGCAGGATGAGCTGGAACAAATACAGATCTCTTAATGGACAGTTTGTGACTTGAAACTATTATTGTGAGGATTGAGCCAACATAGCTGTGATGCAGTGAGTCTGCTTGCATATGGGAAGGCTTGAAGTGAAGGGAAGGAAGAAGAATGTAGGTTAAGTGACAGACTAAAGCAGAAAAATAAAACCCATTCTGAACAGAACTACCTATTGTTCATTATTCCTACAGGAAACACTAGCCAAGAATCAGCTACTAGCAGCAGAACATACAAGCCTGTGTCTGTGCCTGCTAAGAACATGACCATCGTGGATGGTATGTCTACAATCTGTCCATTTCTCTAATTTAGTCTCAAATTATAATGAAACTGTCTGTTTTATGGCGAAGTCTCTTAATTGTCTGTATTTTTATTAGTCAGATTGAGCTGAGGGAAGTTCTTTTGGCTCCAGTGAAATGGGATAGCAGAGTGAGACGCAGTTGACCAAATCTCTTTGGTTAGACTTCCTAAAATATAGGAGTGGCACTTRCAGATTAAGTGACACTTACAGAGCCTAAAATATAGGCCCTGGCACTTACAGGTGTTTGGTCTTGGCCAAAGCAGATAGAGCAGAGTTGCATCTGTAGATTAGTCTTTATACGTTGCAGGTAATGGCAAGGCAAACTGTTTATGTTCTTAACCTACATATAATAGATGCCAAAATCCCTAACCTTGAACATGTCAGGATTTTCAGGTTTACTCTTCTCCTCAGTTCATTGCTGACCCTTTTATATGAGGCTCTCATAGTTCTGACACTGTTTCTCAACTCTTTGGCTACCTTCATGCACCACAATGTTCGTRTGCCAGTTTGTTTTCTTGACTGTAAATTATTATAATATCCAAAGGAATATTTTCAGAGGTCTGGGTCTGAAGCTATCAAACTGCAACAYTAAACTAAACACTAGCTGGAGAAATGGAGATTCACAGAATCACAGAATGGTTGAGGTTGGAAGGGACCTCTAACGACCATCTAGTCCAACCCCCTGCTCCAGCAGGGACACCCAGAGCAGGGGCCACAGGGCGGCAGCCAGGCGGGTTTGGAAGATCTCCAGAGAAGGAGACTCCACARCCTCCCTGGGCAGCCTGTGCCAGGGCTCTGKCACCCTCACAGCAAAGAAGTTCCTCCTCACCTGGAGATGGAACTGCCTGTGTTTCAACTTATACCCATTACCCCTTGTCCTGTCGCTGGTCGCCACTGAGAAGAGCTTGGCCCCTTCCTCCCTACATTCCCCCTTCAGGTATTTATACATATTAGACAGATCCCCTCTCAGCCTTCTCTTCTCCAGACTAAACAGGCCCAGCTCACTCAGTTTCTCCTCCTATGATAGATGCTCCAGTCCCTTCATCATCTTTGCTGCCCTAAATCATCTTTGTTGTCCTTCAAGCTAGAGACGGTGCTCTGGTTTCAAGACCTTTCAGAGCTGGCTGCACTCAAGTATCCTGTGCTTGGCAGGGAAAGTAGCAGCTGTCTCTAACCTTCACACACAGTTTCTCCAAAAAAAAGAGTGGTTAAAATCCTCCTCATACTATTGCAACCCCAAAGCATCCCCTAAATGTGTTGCTAGTGAGTTGTTTCTTTGTGTGTACGTTTGTTTTAAAGGTGATTAGCTCCTTAAGGAACTGCCTACAGCCTACAGTTAGATGGTTCCTGTTTCCAATTCCAGTCAGATATTCCTGGCACAATTTGTTTTACCTCTTGTGACAGTAGGACATAACTATGCATTTTCTTTGGCATCTATTACAAAATTCACACTTAAAAGCCTCAGTAAATGACCTAAAATACYACACAGAAATCAACTAGTTTAGCAAAGGTGGGAATGTGTAAATTAAATGATAAACATACTTTTCATCTTAATCCAAGCTTCTGTGTAGTGTTCCTCCTGTCTCACTTCCCCTCCCCTGTTTGGACCTGCTAGTGCCAGGGGGTCTTCTGACCCTTTCAAATGCAGATTCTAGGAAGAGCTTAACTTAGGCTTTATCTGGCAAGGAGCTGTGCTTGGCTGCAGGTCCTCTACACAAAAACACATGTTAAGCAAGTTTTTTTTGTGTGAAAGGATACACATAACATTGTCTGCATTTTATTATGTGAACACTTAACAATATTACCTTTGTTTTTACTCTTTAGCCTTTAGGTCTGTGAAACCACAGCCCTCCTGGAATTCATCTAAATCCTACTCGGAGGTGAGAAGCGTCTCTCRGGAGTGAAGCTTTGCAACCACTGCCTTCTGCAGCCTTCTGAGTTAAAATAAATATCTGGTCAGAGCCTCTGTCTAAACCAGAGCAAGTTCCCAAGCTAGTGGTTGCAACAATAAGGTTCTGCATGTTAATTTGTACATTTTGTGTGTGTATTGGGTCTTTAAGRAAAATGCTAAGACTGTGTTTTATTTGTGAAGGGCCCATAGTCTAAGGTATGGAGAGAAGGTACATGAGGGAGTTTTGGGGTGTTCACAAGATCGATGCCAAGACTTATCTTGTAGTTGCACATTGTTTGGTTACAGCCTGGAGCCCTCTGGACTGGGTGTTTTAATGTTATAACTAAGTAGGTATTTAGTTAAAATTATAGTACAATGTCTTTTTTTATGTACAATATCTCTGTAAGAATGCAAGAAGTTTAATACAAAATTTATAAATGCTCTCTCTGTTTTTTCAGGACATTATAGATCTTGACTCTGATGAAGAAGCAGCTTCAATTGCGCCTTTTTCCAAAGCAAATCAAAGGTTGGTACGCATATTTTTATTTATCTATTGTATTTATTTATTTATTTTTAAGTCCACTGTGTCTTATTTCTGATTGGGAATCAGCAGAATTCAGGAGTCTAGTTCACTAACTGCAAAAACAGATTTTAAAAGAAATTCTGAAGTGTTTCTAGGACTTCTGTAACCTTTTGTTACTTCCTGATGTGGATGATCTTCATATAACAGAAGTTCTACTGACTAGGAAAAGCTAGGGCAGAGTTTCATAGTCAGAATGCATAAATGTTTTTTAAAAATTTGGATCATTTATCTCACTGATATTTCTGTTTATTCTTAATCTCTGCGTTAATCAACCAGATCTGAGTTAAAGGGCGAGTTGCTGCAATGCCTGGTATTGAGAACTCACTTGGTAACTTTTCCCCTCTCTTTTTCTTTGCGTATTTTAAGGTTGTCAACTCCATCTTCATTTAGTAAAAGGAGTTCACAGAGCCAAATATCTAGAGGAGTTGACTTTGACTCAGATGAGGTATGTGGTGTAGTGGTCTTTGACAACATAAAGTAATCAGAACAAAATACATTTTTTTTCACTAACAGTGCTGCATTATCACAACCAGTTTTTAATTAAAGCATTTCATAATCATCAAAAAGACATTAAGAAAATATCTAGTCTGTTTTCTTTCCATCCCTCCACTTAGTTCTTGATATTCAGTTGTCACTCCTGAAAAGTGTGGAATAGGTTAGACTAACGCTTGCTGTGAGGTGACCTGTACTAGTACAGGGCTCTGTCCTTTGAGTTATTCATCTGTTTTAATTTTGCCAAAAGGAAGAAGTTTACTTTTTGCATTAAAAAAAAAAAAAAAAAAAAAGTTAGTCTCCTATCATTCTTAATCATTGCAAATCATATAAATACGTGGAAGAATTCTAAAATTTCACATGTTTATTCCTACTATATATGTTCGAACTTCTAGGAAGAGATTACTTTGTAGTGAGGAAACAAGTAGAATTTACTTTATTGTCAACTTTACACTGAATACAATAAACAAGATGTCAAGTACTATGCTGTATTTTTCCCCAGACTCTCTGGTTGTTAGATATGATCAGATTCCTGCCTTAAGGATGTCAGACATTGGCTACTTGAGGAAAAAAATGTAAAATTATCCCTTCTTTCCATGATACTGTCTCCTCTTTTGGTACCTGAAATACAAACCTGCGTGTCTCCCTGAATGTGCAAAAAATAACATGTTTTTGATTCTTGCATTTCTCATTAAATTATGATGGGTGATATGTAGGCAGATATAACTTCATTTGAAGTATCTTCTGCTAATAATGATAATATTTTGCCAGATCATATCTGAAATCCATTTTTTTTTCTCCTGATTTCAAGGTAGCTATTCTGATCACACTGACTTCAGTTGCCTTTCTGTTTTCTACACCCTTATAAATTGGGCTTCAAATTCCTGGGTAATCCCCTGCATATTAAAAACAACAAACACGGGTCTGTCAGGGAGTGTGGAATAAAGTGACACAGCTTCATAGTTTAATAGTTTAATCTAAAATTTCATAGTTTAATAGTTTAAAGTTTCATAGGTTAATAGTTCAATCTAGAGACAATCTCTCGTTTTGTGGCTCAGAATACATGACTGTTTTAATAATCTATATCTCTTTATAAATTGCAGGATGAATTTGACCCGTTCAAGAGCCCTGCAACGTCAAGAAGAACTAAATGATTTCAGGCTCACTGTATAAGAGAGGCCACTATGGAAAATGGAGAACAGTATGCAGAGCATCCTTTGTAACAGATGGTTTGCATTAAATCTTCACTTCTATGAAATGTTTTATTTTAGTGGTACTGAATTCAGAATGGTCAGTGTGTCACATTACTTGATGCAGAGCAGATCTAATATTTTACACACTTTTCAAAGTACTACTGCCTGAAACTGCTAATTGCCCAAAATTTTACAAGCCCATTTTCTTTCTAAGATAGCAATGTAAATAACAGACTTAGCTTTCCTTAAAACTTTCATTCTTTTGGGGCTTGAATTTTTCAGAGTAGATTTAGGGTAGTATGCAGGTATGGAAGTGGACGTGGATTTGGCCAGAGCAGTGAACTCGGCATTTATTTGCAGTTTTGATACAGTTACAGTTAAAGCCATAAGGAGTAGTAGTTTGACCCAAAGATACAGCTCTCAGTATTAACCCTGCAAAGTGCTGTAATGCTCTCAGCGTACTGGGAAGAACAAAGCTGCAACTGCATTGTTAAACATGACAGGATACAGGAAGGACTTCTGCTCTCTAAATACAGAAGAGCCAAAGACTTCAGGTCAGATTGCATTATCAGCTTCTTACCTTTTAAATAAGATGTAGGGCCTAGACCCCTASAGCTGTGTGAGGAACACGGTTTACAGAATAAAGGAATTGTGCCAGTAAAGGCAAGACGCTGCCTCTTGCTTTTTTCTTAACTGATATTTTAGTAACTCTCCCGAAATGTCTTTGTTGTTTTTCAAAATATTCCTCCAAATGAGGCATTTAAAACAGAATATAGTGAGGTTGAGGAAAACTCCTTCTGTGGAAGGAGCCGATGCCTGGGCCTGTTCCTTCTTTGCCTTCTCCATCATTAGACATCTCTTAGTGGCCTCCTTTCCCCAAAAAGCCCACAGGGGTGTTGAGCTGTTCTAACTTCAGCTTTCCTAGCAAGAAAGGGGCCAGAAGGATTTAATAGCAAAGCCCTCAGCACGCTGAGTAGCAGCAGCCTTGCTTTTCCACTGATTTTTTTCCCTTCTCCCTCCAAGATGCAGGGTTGGCAGTCATGTTGCCGTGGCTCTTGTCACACGTGGCTGTTAATCACATACATCCTGCAGAAGAGACCTTAAATGAGCCTTGAACTTCCCGAGGGCTTCCATAAGAGCGATCAAGATATTTGAATTCTAGCGTGCAGCTTAGTAGCAGTTTACAGAGCAGTGTGCTCTCACTGAAGGTATCAGGGCATAGTTCGGTAGTGTGGCTCTTCATTAAGAGCTGTTAAAGCTAGTATGATATTACCTATGCAATAGATGGGCTGCTGTAAAATCCCTTCAAGAGAAGGGCTGTTTGTTTTTGGTTTTGTTTCTCTTTTTTTTTTTTGTTTTGTTTTGTTTTTTGTTTTTTAATCTATTTGGGTTAAATGGTGAATGTCACGTGTATGGACTATGTTGAATCAAAGGGATTAAGAATTTAATACGCTTTGCTTCTTTATGTTGCTATGCTAAATAAACATGTTTTCTTATAAAGATTTGAGCTAAAAAATGGCTAATTTATTGTTCCCTGAAAGATTTAAGGAGAGTCCTTTTTCTAATGCTGATGAATGATTTTTAGCAGATGTATGCAGGATGAACCAGACTTGCTTCAAGGTCTCTTTTGTTCTGCTTACCTTTTTCACAAGGGTTTTTTCCAGTCAGCTGCCCCATTCAGAGAAGATCTGCTTATGCTGTTACAGCTGCAGCAGTTGCCACATCAAAGGCAATGATACCATCTTTAATTTCAGAGGGAAAGGCTGGTGTGCATAGGAAGATGGTTCTTCTGAGGATCAAGGTGCCTGTGCAAGGACAAGAACCGTGGTCTGCGTTTCTCTCACAGCAGTGATCCATATGTGGTGTTGGGAAAAGGACATTTCTCATTCATGTAACTTACAACCCACCTTCCCTCGGGAAGCTCTCRGAGCCTGGGGACGGTGGTAGACACCAGAGTGGCGGGTGGACGGGGAGCAGCTCAGGACGTGCTGGGCTCAGGAAGCCTCTGTGGGCTGGGGGAGGATGGACCGTCCTCCCACCCAGTGCAGCAGACAGGACCTCCTGGGACAAGGGACACAGTGATGCTGCCGCAGGACACTGTGGCGCAGCGGGAATGCAGGACACTGTTCCCTGTGCCTGGCTGCAGAGGGCCACAGCAGCCTGGACTTCAYGTCACTGCAGTGGGTCACAGGGGCCTCCATGGTGGTGCCAGGAGCTCCTGGCCTGGGCCCAACACTCCTTGGGTGACCAGAGAAGCGTGAGCTGGTGAGAGGGCTGCTCTGCAGCCTGTGACATGGAGCAGAGCTTTCACTGCCTGCCCTTTCCCTTTGGAACTGATGTGTCAGAGCTTGTGGTTTGAGTCCTCGTTACAACCATGCTGCGTAGGGAAGGGTGAAGAAACAACCCCCGCCAAGAGCTTCCCGAGAGACGCTGCTGTGAGGATCTGGACTGCAGGAGCGCTGGGCTTCGGGCTGCAGCAGCTCCCTCATCATCCCCTTCCGCGCTGCCTTGGGGGAGCCCAGCCAGGCTCGGCAGAATGTCCTGCCGTGCGTGGCCAGCTCGCAAGGGGACGCGGAACCAGCGGGGGGGACCTGGCTTCTCGTACTGGGGAGCTGGGCAACCCTGTGCTGGTGGGAAAGGCCCCCAGAGCTGGCASCTCTCCCTGCACGGCCGGGGCTCCTGCCGTTGGCAGCGGAGGGCAACCACGTCGAGAGGTGTCACAGGGCAGGTGCCACAGCAGCCACATCCCCGGGAAGACGTGGGGCTTCTGCAGAAGGGGCACTCCCTGCTTGGATGAGCTGGGGATCAGGAGCTGGGCTGCTTGGAGCAGGGAGTCAGGCAGGGAAGGAGGCCCCTGTCCACAGCAGGCCCAGGACCCTCGGCAGCAAGCGCAGCTTGTACYGGGGCAGGTGGGTGCCCGTGTTCATTCCTGAGGTTTCTGTGTTCCTTCCATGGCMAACTTTCCAGTCTTGCTCCAGCAAGAAAAAAGACAAGGAGGCCCAGGCGGCTGAGGAGACCCTTGTGGCTGTGTAAGTGATTTCCCAACAGCTTTCTCCTATACAAGGTCCCCCTTGTTTGCACTGCACCCCAGGCAACCTCCCCAGCCCGCTGGGACACGTCCTCCCGCACTGTCCTGCCCAAYGTGCAGACACGTCCGGGGCCGCCATGCGGGGCAGCGCCGAGGCTGCCATGCAGGCTCTGCTTCACCGTCCGTCGAGCTTGCCCCTGCCCTGGCGCTCTGCAGGGCCGGCTCCGCTCAGCCCTTCTCCTCCGCCTCCATGCACGCGGGGGCAGCAGGGGCCAGCTGAGCCCCCCGGCAGCGGGGCCTGTGGTGCTCACTGCCCCACACGCTGACCGGGTGCCCCTCGGAGGCGGCCTGGGCGCCACCTTCCCCCTCCTGTTCCCCCCTCGCCCAGCCGCTCGCCGCAGCCCCCGGGCCTTGTGCAGGAGCAGGGGGCGAGCGGCAGCAGCCTCGGCAGCCGCTCCGCGGGGAGCAGGAGAGCCCGTCGCAGAGCTTCCCGCTGCGGACACCCGCGTCCTCCTCAGCAAGGAGCAGAGCCATGGAGGCCGAGGCCTGTCATCGCTGCTCACCTCCTGGCCAGCCTGGCGCTGTCCCCGCTGCCCTTGGCCCACGGAGGTGTGAGGCAGCTCTGTCCCAAAGGGAGACGGGGTGGGAGGCAGTTGGCAGGAGCTGGGAAGGGCCCCCGGTGCCTCCCGCCAGCGCAGCACTGGCAGCAGCCTGTGGGCAGCTGGTGAACAGCAGGCCCAGGTCCTGGCACAACTCTCCACGCACCCCTAGCCTGGCCCAGGACAGCAACGAGCCTCGGGCAGCCACATCCCCAGGGCAGCCTCAACCCCGCATCTCAGAGCTCTTCTTCTGCTCTTCGCCCATGCTCTTCTCAGGGAACCCTTGCCTTGGGTCATTTTTCTTTGGCAGCAACAGGAGTTTGAACCCATGCGGATGCCAAGCAGGACGGGGCAGCCGGAGAAGAGCAGCCAAGTGCTGGCCGCTCCCGCAGCCCTGGAGGCCAGCGCAGCTGGAGGCCGGAGCCGAGGAGGCCGTGGGAGCAGAGCTGCGCAGGGCAGCCCGCCCAGGGGCAGTCCCCGGTCTGCGCAGGGGCTGCCCCTCAGCAYCCCGGGCCCTGAACCGCCACGGCGCTGCCCACACCAGTCTGGGGATGGAGGGGACGTCGTGTCTGGCAAAACGCTGGTGGCTGCTCCAGGTCCTCTGCAGGGGCTTCCCGGGCCTCCTGGCTACCGCCCTGTGAGCATCTGCTGCCTTCCAGGGGTTGGAGAGCAGGAGGAGCCAAAGGCAAAGGCTCTGACTTGAGCTATTTGTTGCAAATAGCACCTGACACTTGCCCTTGCCTGCACCGGCCTGGAGGTGCTTGTCTCCCAGCACTACATTGTATTTTGGCTCTTGGTCTTCCACTGTCTTACATTTCCTAATGCTCTGTGGGAGAAGGGTCTGGGAACAAACACACTGCAGGGCRCTGAAGAGCCCAACATCCAGCGCTCGGCTACTTGTGGCTGTGGACAGGACAAGGAGAAATGGGTGTAARTTGAAGCACAGGCAGTTCCATCTCCAGGTGAGGAAGCGCTTCTTTGCTGTGAGGGTGACAGAGCACTGGAACGGGCTGCCCAGGGAGGCTGTGGAGTCTYCTTCTTTGGAGRTCTTCCMAACCCGCCTGGCTGCCACCCTGTGCCCCGTGCTCTGGGTGTCCCTGCTGGAGCAGGGGGTTGGACTAGATGGTCTCTAGAGGTCCCTTCCAACCTTGAACATTTTGTGATTCTGTGATTTTGTGATATTGCATTGCCCAGTCAKGTCATCCCTTCCAGTCCTTTTTTTTCCTTATAATCTCCTGTTTGTGACTGCTGCTCTGTTTCTAAAAACCCTAGAATGTACAATTTAGGCTCTAATTTTTATTCCATTGGCCAAGAGAAAATGCCTGCCAAAGAAAAGCTTAGATTTTTTTCTCTTTATGTGTGGAGAAAAGATCTTTGCAAAAAAGCTGCAAACCATGATTCACCCGACTTTTTGCATGGACATGATAAGCATTTTTAATAAGGGCTTCAGCAAAATCGGGTGGCATTTTCTTTCACTACGAGAGTGAGAGGAAAGCTTCCAAACACAGTAAAGCGTCTTTTATTCTCAGGTCATCTATTGCCATATCCCTATTTCTATGCCAGTTAGTAAATACTGCTGTGTTGTTGTGCTGCTATTGCCGGGCTGCAGCTTTCCTGATGGAGGTTTAACAGTGAACTTTAATTTGGAATTTCTCCTGGAAGATACCACAGCTGCCGTAGGCAGTGCTGGTTTGTAAACAGCACAGAATTTGCACAAATTCAGTAACGGCTGTTGGCAGTGAAGAAGGATGCTGGAGATTGAAAAGAGCAGTTTTGCCTTTCTCCTAGAGAGCAGATGAGACTGCCTCGGAGTAGTGCCCTGGGGGAGTGTAATTGTGCATTAAATGAGCACGTCACAGCAGAAATGTTATGCAGCCCAATGGGCAGAGATCCTTGCTCGGAGCGTGTGTGCAACGGCAGCTTGCTGGAGATATAAAAGTAGGGAGAAGCGGAGAGCGGAGCGCACGCYGAGCAGAGCGGCGCTGCCGGTCGCACCGCACCGCGAGCCAGCCTGGCTCGGCAGGACACGGCCGCCGTGCAGAAATGCTTGTGCATTTTGTCTGTCTGTCTCTCCCCGACTTAGTTAGCGCCTTTGCGACATCAGGAGAGTTTCCCCTTAACAGAAGTTTGGAGGAGCCTTTTGCAATCGCCAACATTTCCCGTTTCTTTTCCTGGGCTAACTACAGCCTGGCTGACTGGCAGAGCYTGGTGGGCAGGAGCCGGTCCGGGGCCGAGTCGCAGAACCTCGCAGCGAAAGCCCTGCTCATCGCAGCCTACTCCTTCATCATCGTCTTCTCGCTTTTCGGCAACGCCCTCGTCTGCCACGTCGTGATCAAGAACAAAAGGATGCACTCGGCCACCAGCCTGTTCCTCATGAACCTGGCCGTGGCCGACATCATGATCACGCTCCTCAACACGCCTTTCACGCTGGTAAGAGCGGCTCGGAGACCCTTCCCTCCCATTTTCCATTCCAAGCATGAAGTTTGTTAAAGGAGAGTTGTAGAAACAGTTCATCACGAGGAACTGAGCTGCTGGGAAGTGGCAAATGACACCGTGTTGAGGGAAAAGAGGCAGCTGGAGCTGTCAAAGACATGAAGACAATTCAGTCACTTCAGTGACCTTCCTCTCTTTACCCTGTTGTAGGTAATGCATGAATATCCTACAGGCATCTTCCCAGTCCCCCCTATAGTGATGGGAGGGCTCTTGGGAGAACTCAGTTTGCCTTTTCTTCCTCTAATTTCTATTATCTAGCTGAAGATCTCCTGCTTTCTCTCTGTTTCAAGTGGTCCTGGTAGCACTCGAACAATAATAATCTCATAGTGATTTCTTAGTGCCTTGTAGTATATGGTCTTTTTTTTCCTTTGTCTGAAATATTTCCAGTATAATACTGTGAATCATCATTTTACAAGSTGTGTGGAAAAGCTGTAGCTTGCTTTGAGCTGAAATGAGGCATAGAGGTGAGCCATAAGGAGAGCTTATGAGGGGAGAACTGATAGAGYTGGTGACTAAACTGTTGAACTATGGTGAGGAATATTGTGAATGGAGCAGAACATCTTAGATGCTGCTTTGCTGCCCTGTCCTGGAGCCACTAGCCTGACTGCTCAGAGTTCAGCAGCCAGCAAGTCTTACAAAGGGGAAAGAGGGGGAGACTGAAAGAAATGGGGGATGCACTTAAATGAGTTGGAACCTGCTATTTCAGAGAAGCTAGTAGATAGTATAAGGAATTTTGCACCAGAGGTGCCTCTCATAAGCATGTGTATGGTTGGCTGGGATGCACAAAAGCTAACAGTGCGCTGGTTTTAGGCTCGTTTTGTGAACAGCACGTGGATATTTGGGAAGGGGATGTGCCACGTCAGCAGATTTGCACAGTACTGCTCCCTGCACGTCTCTGCCTTGACCCTCACAGCCATCGCCGTGGACAGGCACCAGGTGAGAGCTCTCCGAAGCAGGCGGCTCAGAACTGCAGAGGCACTTACACTGAGTGAGAAAGTGTGATTCCATTTCATCTACCTCTCAGCTCTCAGGTTAATGCAGGATGCATGAAAACATTGGCAATGACAGGGGAATAGTTCTTGCTATCAGAGCATGATACATTTCCATACATTAATACCATGGTCCACTTGACATGCAGTCCTCTGGAGCCTAGCAGCGCACCATATAGACATCTGTGTATGTGCAGCACTCTCATTATCCAAGTTTTCTTTACTCTCTGGCATCTCTCACCTCTTACTGCTCTGAGTGGTGAAGAGCTCACTGTACCCAACTTGTGCCACCTAGGAGCAAATACTGGGCTGGGATCAGGTTTAGCATTTGTATGGGGAAAACTTCCAGGCTTTCATGCACAGCTTAATGTCARTGGCAGCTGGGTGAAGACAGCACAGCTTGTGTGCTAAATTTCTATTTAAATATTTAAGGCTCGGAGATAATATGAAAAAAATGGTGTATTTATTTCCTGAATCAGTATCAGCCTGAATACTGATTTATTTTACACAGGTTATAATGTACCCTCTGAAACCTCGCATATCTACTGCAAAAGGTGTCATCTACATCTTTGYAATTTGGATTATGGCAGCTTGTTTTTCCCTCCCACATGCTATCTACCAAAAACTCTTTACTTTTGAATACAGGTAAGGGTRTTCTCTGCTCTCTACTTTCCCTCTAAAGCTTCTCTGGGGATCAGATGCTCAGTGATGGTTTGTTGGCATCTTATATTAAGAACCTTGAGCTTAYGTTTAGATCAACCAGCTCCGGATCTGGTCTATGATTCATATCAGATGCCTTTTCCAGTAGCTGATATCATGTTTCACATCAGATGCCTTTTCTAGTAGCTGATATCATGTTCTTGTTTCTGTTTTTTTATTTTTTTATCCTTATTCTGTCACACTAATCATATGGAAGAGGATAACAAGTTAGAGGACCCGGCATGGATCCTCAATCTCTATAAACTCTCCATTTACACTATGTACAAATSTGGTGTATTTGGGCAGGCTGGGAACGGGGGGAGGAAAGCTAACAAGTTTTAATCCACTCTTTGGCACTGGGGGAGTGACAGAATCTGCCCATCGGCTGCTTGTTCTGTGTCAAGCTGTTGTCAGCATTGATATTTGGAAAGCGGTTGAAAGAAGGAAAGGCCCTTCAYATGTGCAGAGACTGTTGCTGTTTGCAAAAGGACATTTACCAAAGGGCAGCAAATAAAAACTTGCTTCTGTGCAGCTGATAATTTTGTAATTTATGAAATCCCTAAGACTACCATAATACCATGAATGCCCCTGGGAAATTATCAGCTCACTGCTCACAGGCTGTTCCATAGCTCAAGTAATTGGGCATCAGAGCTTCACTTAACAGATTTCCCTAAGAAGTGAAGGGTCTGCCTCAGGGCTCTATGGCCCGAGCCTCCTCCTCTTATTTCTGTTTCTGTTTTGTTGCTCCCACAGTGCCCTGGCATCCCTGCACTCACCTGTGTCTGTGTGTGATATCTTCAATTGCAGTGAGGATGTCACCCGCTGCCTCTGCCTCCCAGATTTCCCGGAGCCAGCTGACCTCTTTTGGAAGTACCTGGACTTAACAACCTTCATTTTGCTCTATGTCCTGCCCCTTTTGATCATCTCTGCTGCCTATGTGACAGTGGCCAAGAAACTCTGGCTGCGCAACGTCATTGGGGATGTCACCGCCGAGCAGTACTTTGCCCTTCGCAAAAAGAATAAGAAGACTATAAAGATGCTGATGCTCGTAGTCATCCTCTTTGCAGTCTGCTGGTTTCCCTTAAATTGCTACGTTGTCCTCCTGTCCAGCCAGACCATCCGCACCAACAACGCCTTGTACTTCGCCTTCCACTGGTTTGCAATGAGCAGCACCTGCTACAACCCCTTCATCTACTGCTGGCTCAAYGAGAGTTTCCGATCGGAACTGAAGGTTTTGCTCCACATATGCAGAAAATCTCCTGGGCCTAGAGAACAGAGGCTTCCCTCCACAGTGCCATCCTACCAACTAGCGTGGCCAGAAAACAGCAACTTCACAAAATTGCGTGTCCCCCGTGTCCATCCATCAGCCTCCAAAATTCAGTCTGGAAAGACAGACATCTCTTCAGTCGAGCCAGTAGTCACGGTGAGCTAAACAGTGTCCCCAGGAAACTGTGAGGACTGTACCCAGGTTTGAGCAGAGCTAAAACAGTGGCGAGAGGCTGAGCCCTAGACTACTACTAGTGGCAGCAGTAGCAGAAGACATCTTTGATGCAGGCTGATAATGAAAGGGAAGAAGGCAAACTCTTGCTGGCAAGGRGCTTTTCTTATGTTTCTCAAATTGCCTTTGGGTCTCTTCGGAGGAAGGGGTTCTCTGCATGCAGCCACTTTGTTATTTGCATGACTAAGACATTTTTACCAATGAATTTTGCTGGTGATACTTAAATACTTATGTGGTATTTAAGACATTTAAATAGTAAAGTGACAATTTAATCACATCAAGAGCCCTGTCTCTTCTTAACGTCTCTTAGTAACAACATAGGCAAGCCAGTGCAATTGGGTATGAAGCCATCTCTCCTGAAATGGGAACTGGCAGATCAGGATGTTGTTTGATGTTGTCTACCTTGACTTCAGCAAGGCTTTCGACACTGTCTCCCAWAACATCCTCATAGGAAAGCTCAGGAAGTGTGGTCTGGACAGGTGCACGGTGCGGTGGATCGAGGGCTGGCTGGATGGCAGAGCTCAGAGGGTGGTGATAAATGGGGCCGAGTCCAGTTGGAGGCCTGTGGCCAGTGGTGTCCCCCAGGGGTCAGTACTGGGCCCRGTGCTGTTCAATTTRTTCATCAATGACCTGGGCGAGGGCACRGARTGCACCCTGAGCAAGTTTGTGGACGATACCAAGCTGGGTGGAGTGGTCAACACTCCAGAGGGCTGTGCTGCCATCCAGAGGGACCTGGACAGGCTGGTGAGTTGGGCAGAGAGGAACCTCATGAGGTTCGATGAGGACAAGTGCAGGGTCCAGCACCTGGGCAGGAATAACCCCAGGCACCAGGACAGATTAGGGGTCGACCTGCTGGAGAGCAGCTCCATGGAGAGGGACCTGGGAGTCCTGGTTGACACYAAGTTAACCATGAGTGAGCAGTGTGCCCTCGTGGCCAAGAAGGCCAATGGGATCCTGGCCTGCATCAGGAGGAGTGTTGCCAGCAGGTCAAGGGAGGGGATCCTGCCCCTCTCCTCAGCTCTGGTGAGGCTGCACCTGGAGTATTGGGGGCAGTTCTGGGCTCCCCAGTACAAGAGAGATGAGGAGCTTCTAGAGAGGGTCCAGCGGAGAGCAACTAAGATGATTAAGGGACTRGAACATCTATTTTGTGGGGAAAGACTAAGSGAGCTGGGCCTGTTTAGCCTGGAGAAGAGAAGGTTGAGAGGGGATCTGATCAATATGTATAAATACCTGAGAGGAGAATRTAAAGAGGATGGRGCAAACTCTTCTCGGTGGTGGGCAGTAATAGGACAAGGGGTAATGGATGCAAACTGCAACACAGGCAGTTCCATCTGCACATCTTCCATGTGAGGAAGCACTTCTTTRCTGTGAGGGTGMCAGAGCCCKGGMACAGGCTGCCCAGGGAGGTTGTGGAGTCTCCTTCYCTGGAGATYTTCCAAACCCGCCTGGCTGCCACCCTGTGCCCCGGGCTCTGGGTGTCCCTGCTGGAGCAGRGGGTTGGACTAGATGATCTCCAGAGGTCCCTTCCAACCTCAACCATTCTGTGATTCTGTRAAGATCTGTTCAGAATGACTGAACAGATCTATTTTGCAATTCCATGATTTTCCTGGCAATATCCTCACAGAGATGAAGGATTAGATAAGCACTGAAAAACAGAGCAGTCTTTTACATCATAAACACTCTTTCTAAGATAGAGTTGGAAAACATGGGGGAAATAGTGTCTATTCTTTGCACGAATTGATGTTGAACACCAGCTTGTTCCTACACCATCTTCTGGCACTGCTAAATCACACAGACTTATTTCTTTCATAAAACAGCTACGAATTTTGAGAAAGATTTTCTTCAAAGAGAGGACTAAAACCCCYCATTTGCTTTTGAAAGTATTGGACTATCTACAGTTAGAACAATGCTGGCTAAGCACTATTTGGAGTTTGGATTAGAAGCTTTTGATCAGGATATCTCTTATCACTTATCACTCATAAGTGATAACTAAAGAATCCCCCAGTTAATTTGTGTTCACAAGTTGCTCTGTTACCTGCAAAGCACCCAGGTGCTTCTCAGATCAGACAACTGAGACATTTCATCCCCACTAAGACACAGACTCTCTGCAATCAGTGCACAAATGAACTGCCTTAAGAGAACAGATGATATCTATGACAGCAAGTAATAAGAGAGGAATATTTCTCTGCAGGATTCTGTCTGGTGAGTGAACAATTTTGGTGCATTAAAAGATGATGAAGATCTGTCCTTCATTGAATCACTATGGCAAGAAATTAATACGCTGTCTAGAGTAGATCGCAGAGTTCAGTACACTGAGTAGCAGAAAATCTGATTCTGAACAAGGGTGGCAGGGGGAGGAATATTGAAAAAAATGTATCTGTCTTGTATTGCTCTGGAAAGAAACAATTTTCCCTGTTTTATGGAAATCAGTTTGAATGTCCCACTGGGAAGCCCCATTCCACATTGAACATGCAGCAGCTAATGGTGAAGAGAGAAAAAAGAATTCTTGTATCTAAAGGACCATACAGGGAAAAAAGAGAAATTATTCTTTGCAATTTCCTGTAATAAATTTACTTTTGTGAACTCGTTTGAAGACTTGTGAAGTTTTTTTCACACATACCAGCTAATGGAACAACTGCCATTTCTTGCAGCCTCCCTGTCTTCCTGACGTGTGCCTGTCCCACTTCCTCTGGGTCCCCTTGCTTTTTTCTTTCACAGGTATTACGAGGAGTTCTGAATTCAGTGTCACTTCTTTATTAAATAGCCAGGAATCAGAGTATCTGGGATTAGTGAAGGGCAAAAGCAAAGCTTTCTTCCTACYGGCTTTGATCCCATGTGTCAAGTCCCATTCACTGCCTTAACATTTGCTGTACATCAGCAGAAGGACCCAAACAGGGAGGCCCCTCTCTCCCCATGCTATGGCAGCAGATCCTGACTCTTTTCCAGCAAACAAATCTTTGGGAATGTTGAATGTCTAACAGCAGAACTGTTACCATATACAAGACATAAAGCAGAGGTGGGGTAGTTTTAGAACCACAGTAGCCTTGACTGTATTTTRAACTGTTATAAATCAAAACAATTCCTTATTTCAGTTGCTCAAGATGTAGCTGATATGTTCAGTGTAGATTTTAAACTAGTACATCAAAGCATGGCAGAGAAGCTTGGACCTAAGACCATTTCTGCTCCAGAAGGAAAACTGAAGTGGTGGAGAGYTGGAAAACCACCCCATAAGAGAGCATGAGAGCAGCAGATGGAAAAGATTAGGACACAGAGACAGGATACACGGGGAAGTGGTGGCACTAGGAGAGGAGGTAGATGGACCTCTGCCCTCATCTTCTCACCTTGCTTTTGTCACAGATTTTGTAAATTTTGAGCCAAACCTTTTCATTATGTGTTGTGTATTTATTATTTTGTGGTCATTAATAAAAATCTTTAATTAATAGCAATATAGTTGGATTTCTGTAACAAATTTACTCTGCACAGATGAGGAATGATCACAAGAACTTCCCTATGAAAATGCTTCAACTCTTCACATCATCTGTTCTTTTGCAGGACTCTTTTTGGCCATGAAGGGCTTGCGAGAGGAAACCTACCTGGGGATGGACTTCCGGTTAGACTTCAGTTAGAGTTTTGTTGGTAATTTGATCTCCCACTCTGATCCTTCATAGCATTTTGAAGGTTGGACTAGATGATCTCTAGAGGTCCCTTCCAACSTTGAATATTCTGTGATTCTGTGAGTTTCACATTTGTGAATGAACACGGGGCCTCAGGTCGATCAGCACTACGTGGTGTCTGTCACACCAGCATCACCTGCTGGMTGGGACCAGCTGAGGCACATCTAGGTGATGCTCACTCAGAAAACTAATACAAGGAATTTTCAAAACATAACTCTGCTACTGACAACACCACCAAAGTGGGGAGGGATAAATCATCTTTTGTGTCCTGGATTCATCTCTCTGTACTTTAAATCCTTCTTGGTTTSTTTACTTCCTTCTAGGTTTCTTGGTTGCTTTCCTTCTCCTTTAGTAAATGGGGTGCAGTTGTTTCCAAGCATATGTTTATGTTACCCCTATAAAAGCTCTTGGGATTAGATTCTTGTATTTAGATTTGCTTGAGACTAAGGGAGTCTAGTCTGAAGTCAGCCAGGATGCTCTTTTGGAAGCTGAGGCAACTTTTAGCCATCATAAGCAATATTCTGTCTTCGAGTGCAGTTCCCATCCTTTGAGTAACCACATATGTGGCAACTCGTCAGAGCACCAAAACACAAAATCCTCAGAGGCCCAGTGGCCCTTGTGCTCACTCCAGTTAGGCCTGGACAGGCTCCTGCAGTTACAATTCTGGCTCCTGTACCCCACTGTCGGCCACAGAGAGCATCTCTCCTCCCAGCTCTGCCCAATACCCTGATGGATCCAGGCAGAGGGGAGCAATAAAGCGTTGATTTAAGCACAGATGATTGGGTGGATTGGACAGAGTTCCTTAATGGCCTGATCAAGAGCTGAGCTGAAAGTGTCCAGCAGAGCTATGAGATCTAGAGCAAACAAGGCAGAAAAATGCAGAAGGACAAAATCATGGTTAAAGCAATTGAAATAATGCCGTTGTAAATGGCTTGTTTCCCTGTCTATATTTAATTCTCTGTGCTACAATGTACCCAATGTACCTAAYGGGAAGTTTCTGATGAGCAGTTGCTAATGCCAATTACCTATTCTTCATTTTCTTCATATCTGATTTGGGATTCTGCAGAAGGGCTCTGCATTCAGCAGAGCTGCTGCGATCGGTGGGGGCCATGCTGTGCGCACGGTAATGGGAGCTGCTCCATCAACATCACTTCCAAGGCAGCTCAAACTGGGCATGCAGACCGCACAGGTATTTATCACTCTGTACCTCAGACGTGCTGTGGATCAGAGGGTTTCTTTCAAAATGTACATGCGGTGATTTACACAGCACTCAGAAACCACCTTGGTGAGTGTGAAAGGACGGTCTGAGTGATGAGGAAATAAGATACATGCAC